CTCACACACACACACACACACACGTGATGCGCAAAACTCCGCATTTGAACGGTCAATAGCAAATACTTAAACTAATAAAACAGTAGCTGATTCAGAAGCGCCAGATTGTCATAGCAAAGTCAGAATTACCTTCTCTCCTAGGTTCACGAAATGGTCGTCCATAAAATGCATTGCTGTTCTGTTGTAAGTAATCTTAAAGATTCCTAAGTGCATCTACTTTCGGAAGGCCAAATATAGTGCTTTTGCTTTCGCCTAGAAACACGCAGCGTCTCCCTGACATGGCTGCTTGAACACTAACTGCGGTTACTGAAACCATGCCTTCTTTGTTTGCGTGCACATTTGGGTGGCATTATGCTAATATTTCCACATAGTGAGGTAGATATGTGGGGGCGTGTTAGAACGAGCCGTTTTAGGGGGGCGTGGCAGAGTCTTAACTTTGATAAAGAATATCTCTTTGGTTTTGAGACTTTAGTCTTTGCAACTTCAGGGATCTTATCTATGCACAATCAGCTTGTAACACTCCAAAGACAAAGGAAAACTTGAAATCGCATCATATGACCCCTTTAATGATACAATAAAACCCAAGAACCTAAAATGGTAAACAAATAAGCTGATTTCTGAAGATCATATCGGACAGAAACATACTCTATGCACATAACTGGTGCGCAAATTAAAAAATGCTCTGTGTAAATTCAAACCGCTCATTTGCGTACTGACATTGCTGACACGGCTATTAATGCACAGTCACCGTTTTAGATGGACTAACTGAAATACTGTATAAGATTTCCATTCAAACTGAAAGCATAAATCTTCAAGTTCACCGATGCGCTTCACTGGGCAGGGCTAAACCCGGCAGCGCAAATACTTACTTGCCGGCAACCCGCCAAAATAAAAGATTGCTAATTTTAGATTTAAAAAATGAGGAAAATGTATATTTAAAAAAGTAAATTTTAGCATTTTATTTTTAAGTGTGCTATAAAATAATTGCATTTCTATTCAATACTCACTTAATATTAATTCATAATTTAATGCATCCTAATTTATAAGGAAGAAAAAAGCATGAGCCTACAGTATTAGCAGTTAATTAAAATATGTTTTACTGAAAAACTGCTGTCCTAAAATGTCCAGCTGAATGTTCTGTATAATTTGGATGCAAAAATTGTATTTGTACAAAAACATAAATAAATAGGTCAAGGTCAAGTATTTTCAAGTTAAGCAAAAGCCTGAGAAAAAAGATATGTTTTAAAAGATGATTTAAAAGAAGATAACGTAGGGGATGATCTGATGGATAAAGGCAAAGTGTTCCAGAGTGTAGGACCAAGAACTGAAAAAGCTCTGTTCCCTTTAGATTTTAAACGAAATTTTGGGACAATCAATAACTTCTGAGAAGACGATCTAAGCGTTCTCACAGGAGAATAGAAATGGAGAAGATCTGAAATGTAAATTGGGGCAAGACCATGAAGTGCTTTAAAAACTAAAACTAAAACCTTAAAATCAACTCTGAATTTAACAGGTAACCAGTGAAGTGAAGCTAACACAGGGGTAATATGCTCCCTCTTTTTTGTCCCTGTCAAAAATCGAGCAGCAGCATTCTGTACCAACTGTAAACGTGATAGTGAAGACTGGTTAATTCCAGCATAAAGTGCGTTACAGTAATCCAGCCTTGTTGAAATGAATGCATGAATAACAACCTCCAAATCATTAAAACTGAGAAAAATAAAGTGACACTACTTTGTAAGAGCAATATGAAAGGAGCATGCACTTTGAGAACCACTAATCTAGTTAACGTTCCCACAAGGCTGCAAAAGCAGCTTCTAGTGTATGTGAACCTTGTGTCCGTAGTAGAACCAGTTCTCTGGGCAGCTGCCGACATAGTGAGGCTCGCGTGGGTCCTCCACTAAAGACACCGTTCTGCGCTTGCACACGTAACCATGTCGATCCTTACAGCTTCCTGCTGACCACTGACCTGCACAACATCATTGATAAGCAGTGTTTGACTACACCAGATAATGCTACTTGTGTGTGCTTAAGTGATTGTGCTTACATATATTGTTTACCAGATTGAGACGACATCTGGATGCAGGTTTGGCCAGGCTTTCGGTAGAATCGACCATTTTCCCAGTTCTCATAATCCAAAGCGGATCCATCAGTCCAACTGCAGAGAGCAAACACACAAAACACATATAAAACCCAACATGAAGCCTGCTTCACACTGTATGCTCCTCTTGTGCTCCTTCACCTTTCTTAAAGGTGAAGTGTGTGACTTCTGTAATATTTGCTGACCAAATGTAAAAAATACAGTTTATTTTGAACTTAAAATCATAAGAATTTTTTTTCTGCCTTTATCTTTCACTTATAATACATAACAATAAATAAATAAAAAATTCATTCATTTTTTGAATTAGACTGTAAAAGAGACTCATTATGGTAGTCAAAGAAAGGCACCTGAGACCATTGTGACCGCTGTTAGCAGACAAACCAATCCACCAAAATTCAGAATTCTAAAAACAAAGAAACAAACAAATATGCTCTTTTATATAAACACATGTAAATATTATATTCTGCATATATGTATTTACACATACACACACTGTTCAAAATGTTGTGGTCAGTAAGATTGTCTCATGCTCACCAAGGCTGCATTTATTTAATAAAAATACACTAAAACAGTAATATTGTAAATAGAATAACATTACAAACAACAGTTTTCTAATTTAATATATTTTAAAATGTATTGTCGAGATGTAAAATTTTGAATTTTGTCACATGATCCTTCAGAAATGATTCTAATATGCTGATTTGCTGCTCAAGATTTTTTTTTAAATTATTATCAATGTTGAAATCAGTTGCTTAATGTTTTCTTTCATGAACAGAAAGTTCAAAAGAACAGATTTAATTACCTTTTGTAATATTATACATGTCTTTACTGTCTCTTTTGATCAATTTAATGCATCCTTGCTGAATAAAAGTAGTCATTTGTTTAAAAAAAACTAAACTCTTATTGAGCGGTAGTGTACATAAAGAAATGCATATAATACCTTATTAATGTGTTCTCTGATGAAGTCCAGTTCCTCACTAGAGTGAACGGAGAGCAGATCAGCGCCCATCATCTTACAGGCGAAGGAGACGGACTCCCAGGGAAACGGTTTACTGGCAAAGTAATATTCAGCTCCTCTGAAAAATATCCACGGCTCAAGTTCTGCGCCATAAACACAAACGAGTGTCATCATCATACACACCAGCAGTGAGGATCAGCCTCTATAGTATTTAGCTGTACTGTACTTACGGTCGCTGTACCAGTACGGCTTGACCAACTCCACACCTGAGCAAACCGAAAATCAAACACCTACATTTCAACAGCTGTTGTTGTTTAGCACTTTTTCCAATAAAATACAAAATAGTGAAATGCTAATATTAATTGAAACCAGTCTACGCTGGTCTTTGATGGTAATGAGTAGGTAATGAGTTTTTCATTACGTTATTTCCATACACCCAGGGCCGGAGTGGGACTCATTTTCAGCCCTGGAGTTTCATGCCTTAAACCGGCCCATTTTTTATTTATTTATTTATTTTTTAATGGCCTTTTCAGTGCCGCCTTTGCGCTTTCTATTATCCATTTTCATCTATTATTTTTTGCTTGCATATCTCCAACAACTGACTTTTTAAAAAAAAATTTTTATCAAGGTGCCACTGTCAGGGGAGTCAAAAGATAATTACTTCATCATTAGGGTTGCCAATTAACTTCAGAAATGGAAGATAAGGGACAATTGTGATTCTTTATCGTTTATTCTTTAAGAAAATAGTGTTTATTCTTGTATTCTTGTAGAAAATAAGTGTTAATTCTTTAAGAAAATAAGGGACAGAATAAGTGACGCTCCAAATATTTGTAGCCTACTGTACCATAATGTAGGCTGTCTGCCAGCAGTTAAAGGGGTCATATGACGCCTATTTTCCACAAGTTGATATGATTCTTTAGGGTCTTAATGAAAAGTCTGTAACATAGTTTGGTTAAAATTTCTCAATGGTAGTGTAAAAACACCTTTTTTTACCCTGCCAAAAACAGCTCTTTTCAGATCAAGCCGTTTTTGTAGCATTTCCCTTTAAATGTTAATGAGCTCTGCTGACCCCGCCCCTCTAGATAGCCCCATCTAAATAGACGCATTTAGGCAGATCTGGGGAGCATTCCCTTCAGAAACAAACGAAATCCACTGCGAGTTCAGCGGCTCAGATGTCGGGAGTAAATGACGACTGCTATGTTCATTATTACATCCAACAACATCTGAGATCGGCTTGATTTGAGAAAGGGGTAGGTATGGGCCGGTATGAGACTCTGACGGTAAGATAACCATAGATAAAAAAAATATATCACGGTTTCAAGGTATCACGGTATTGCGATTACAGCTCTAAAATATGTTATTTTTAAATGTCTGGGTAAATACCCCTTCTCACATGTAAAAAGTACACGACTGTCGACTTCCGTAGGTAATCCCCGGCATGATTCACTCGCCATAGTCCTGCACTTTCCGTCTTTGAAGACATGTAAAAAAACTGCGCATACCGCAGGAACGGTATAACGGAAAATTTTAGTGGTTTTTTTTATCATTTTAGGGTGGTTGTGTACACACACTGCCAACACACATTTCAGTTCAAACATGTAGCATTACATGTCCTCTTTAACCTATTTATGTGCAATTATTCTAAAAAGAATGTTGATGTCATACAAAAAATGTCATCTGCCTGAGTAAATTGTACCAATATAGAATTGTGACTTCACACGTGTAGTAATTTAGGAGGTGAAAATGAAATTACAAATGGCATGAAATCTGAAAGCGTAACAATAACTAGGGCTGGTCCGAATACCATTTTTTGAGCTTCGAAGCTTCGGTAGTAATCAACACCGAATATTCGAAGCTTTGGAGGGAGGGGGCTGAACATATTCTTCTCTAAAAGCGCTTGAAAAGTTGAAAAGTTTTCAACTTCTGCCGCCGAGCAACGGACCCAACGTGACGCGACGGACCCACAATTCATTTCGCCAACGCTTGACGTCACTCCATTCAAAGTAAACGAGAGGCGTTGACGCTGACGCCCCGTGTGAATGGGGCGTAACACCGTGTCTACACCAGACGCAAGCGGCGCGACAAAATACAATAGAACCTATTATGCACACTGGATGTGGCGCGGCGCGGCTGACAAATTCCCGACAGTAAACTGCTGCCGAGTTCTATTTATGACGTACTGACACAAATTTCAAAAGATTTTCAACATCGCTTTGTCACGTCCAGTGTAGACAAACTTTAGCTGTTGCGGCGCGCGGACCCAAGGAAGTGCAGTGTTGCATTTTGGTGCAATATGGACACGCGGCACGTTCAGAATGAATAAACTTAATAAACTACAGAACAGCGCGAGCCAGAAGCGGCTCGCCTCATGCGTGCAGGGCTTATATGCTCCGAGAACGGACACTGCACTAGTGATACAAAACAAATGGGTCTGTTAAGAGCAATACTTTTAATATAGACAAATTATTATTAGACTGGGCTACTGTACGTTTTTTATGACTGCCGGGCGATTCATATTCAAGGGCGAATGAGAACCGCTTCGCGGGGGATGCCAGGTGTTCGAAAAAAAGAAAAAGAATATTCGAATCTCAAAATTGAAAATCGAATGCCAACCCACCGAGCGAATATTCGAATAATCGAATATTCTGGTCCAGCCCTAGTAACAACTGAAGGTCTATAAAACGTCAGTCAATAAAGCATTTTAAACAATGGCATTTAAAGTTTTGAACTAAAATATCATTGCAACCATATAGCCTTTGAATTAATTAAAATGCATATTTTTCAATTAAAGAAAACTTAGAGAGTGTGGGCTGCTTCTGGTGCTACTTCAATAATGAGGTCCAAGTTTAACTGATTTGGCCAAATCAAATCGCGGACTGTGGTGCAATGATTGAAATGATTGAAAACAATGATTTGCGCAAAAAGAATGATTAATTATCAATTGAGAATTTGTTATTGATATGGTCTGGTGAAAATAATAATATGGGCTGCAAGAAAATAATAAATAAAAAGAGTGGGGCTGCTATGAGTGCAGGCAATCTAGGGACAGCATCCATAATTCAACCCAGTGGCATGACAACACCGGCCCTCGCGGCCAAAAAAAACAGACCAGCCCACCGGGAATCCTCCCGGTGCTCCCGATTAGCCAATCCGGGCCTGCATTCACCCAAAGCACAAACCTCTAGGGACCTTGCAAATCCATTCATATTTGGAGTCACACGAGTGAGGCGTGAGAGTGTTTGTGAGGTCACTGTACACAGCACACATGCGAGAGTCCACTTCATTCATATCCTCCATGAACGATGTCACCACCTGCGGAATACCATCATGACAATTATTTAACGAGCTGATGAACAGGTTCTTCCATGACTTTCTGTCTCTCTTTTTTACATGGAGATAATACATTCAAACATATCCAAAGCACACGACTTTCTCTTTTCCTGGCTTTTTTGTCTGTTTCTCTTTTTCTCTGAATTTTTACCGGTGTGGCATCGGACCACTCCCAGGCTCCGTCAGACCAAGGGTTTCTCTTAGTAAAGCCTACCCAAAACCAGCGACCCTCTGTACTAAAAACAGACAAAAAAGAAAAGACAGGAGAAAGAAAAATAATTTAATTAATCAATTCAGACTTACAAAATAAATTCATTACATAAATTGATAAAAAATTCACATTATTATTATTGATAATAATAATACCACAATTAATATTTTAGATTTAATTATTTTTAATATTATTTATGTTTTTACAAATTTGAAGAATATATACAGATATAATACAGGGTCCAAAATAGGGCTGTCAAAAAAAAAAAATTCGAATATTCGTCGAATTTATACTAAAAATCCACATTTGAATGCAAAAACGTTGCATTCGAATTTTAGGTGTGCGTTAAGGAGGCAGCCTTATCAGTGGCGCACGAGATGCGATGACGATTTAAGTGTCGTTGCATTATAATGTATTTGTTATCCTGTCCAGTTGAAGCCACTAGATGCGGCGCTGCTGCGTTGTTCATTAAAAATATTGCGGAAAAAGAGAACATCAATGCGGAGAAGATCTTGTTAACGTCAAAACTGAAACCCAAGCCGTTCACACAGAACACATATTTTTGCACATTTTCCTGAGGGACATCATTCGAATTTAGTTTTTCAGCCATTTTGACAGCCCTAGTCCAAAAGTCACAAACCTATTTAGTTAGTTTATTTAACCCCAACATATTATAATTGAAATATTTATTTACTTTATTATCTTTTTAAAAAATTCTTTCTGATTTACATTTTGAATTCTAGATTTTCAATGTGGTCTCAGATTTTTCAACCACTGTACAAAATTCCAAAATAAACGTTACATTTAATGGCCACCTACATACACTACCATTCAAAAGTCTGGGGTCAGTAAGATTTTTTTTAAGAATTTGATACTTTTATTAAGTTGCACAGTAAACTATTTAAAAATGAGAGTAAAGACATTAATAATGTTACAAAAGTTGAATGATAGAATGATAGGGAAAACATGCATGATTTCCATACAAATATTAATTTTAATATTAATATTACTACTGTTCACCATATATTTTTGGTCACATGCAGCCTTGGTGAGCATAACAGATGGATTAACTTGTGAACAGTAGTGTATAAACTCCCACTTGTGGTGGGAAAACGTGTAAACCAACCTCTGGAACATCATGGAGAGGAGCTTTTTGACAAAAGCTTGATCTTCATAGTGATGGAAACTGGCCAGATCAGCACCCAAAGCCCAGCAGAAGAACTGAGCCTCAGTCTGCGATGCATCAGGATCTTCTCACTGTGATACACCTAAACAATGAACAAACAAACTGAACATGAACGGCAGGAACATACTGAATTATAATTCATCAACAGGTAAAGTCGATTAAATAAAAGATTCAACACAAGACAGTGGCTCTCAATACTGGGTATATGATTATTTACTCTTTGTACTACCTTGTAACAGTGAGACAGGTCTTTGCGGCTCTCCCATCCTGTGGGACATGGTGCATTCAGGTCTATGTGTGGCACAGGCATCAGGGTGTCACGATTACTGCTCACTTCCTGTTTGCACACAGCCAGGGCCTTAAAAGCGTGACAATTTTTCACCTCCCAGTGACCCAGAGCCTGGCCTCCAGACATCAGCACACAGCCTCCTCCACTCACTGCAGACAGAGGGACAAGGATGATTGATTAAATAAAGAGCTTTCAGTCTGTTTGCGCCTGCCAGCCTAGGTGGTAAGATTTTTTAAAGGGATAGTTCATCCAAAAATGCAAATTATGTCATCATTACTCATCCTTACTCATTTCCTTCTTCTGTCGAGCACAAAAGAAGATATTTTGAAGAATGCTGCAGTTGCTGGTAGCCATTGACTTCCATAGTATTTTTTTCCATAATATGGAAGTCAATGGTTTGCTTACCAACATTCTTTTGTAAAGAAAGTAAATCATACAGGTTCGGAACAACTTAAGGGTGAGTAAATGATGACAGAATGTTCATTTTGGGGTGAAGGACTTACCTGGCTGGTGTCGGTTCCAGTTGGTGTAAATGAGGGGTACCGATGAGCCGTTCTGCGTCAGCCAGCGGTACTCGCCGGTTCTGTTCTGGTCCTGCAGAGCTGTCCAGTAGGATCGGGACTCAGAGCCTCCCTTTTCACTGATCAGGCTGTTTAGAAAGGCCTGCTCAAACCTGCCGCAGAGAAACCACGCAGTCCGATTGTGATCTATGCGCCTGCCTCTTTCATGTTGTAAACGTTTTAATTATTCTTGTATAGTAAGCATTTCCTGAATGCTCATATGTGACTCTGGACCACAAAACCAGTCAATGTTTGAAATTGAGATTTATACATAAATTAGCTTTCCATTGATGTATGATTTGTTTGAATAGGACAATATTTGGCTGAGATACAACAATTTGAAAACCTGGAATCTGAGGGTGCAAAAAATCAAAATATTGAGAGAATCACTTTTAAAGTTGTCCAAATAAAATCCTTAGCAATGCATATTACTAATCAAAAATTAAGTTTTGATATATTTACGGTAGGAAATATACAAAATATCTTCATGGAACATGATCTTTACTTAATATCCTAATGATTTTGGCATAAAAGAAAAATCTATAATTTTGACCCATACAATGTATTGTTGGCTATTGCTACAAATATACCCCAGCGACTTAAGACTGCTTTTGTTGTCCAGGGTCACACTACGTAACACATTTCCTGGTTATTCCAGGTTGGTTAATGCTTCTGTCAAGGTCCATCATATACATACATTACCATGCATTCAAAAGCAAAGGAATGAAAGGAAGAGGTACTTTTTTCATCCAAGACGCTCTCAATTGATCAAAAGTGAAAGTAAAGACCGATATAATGTTACATAATATATTTCTATCTAGAATTTTTTTTTTTTTTTTGACATTTCTATTCTCTTTCTGAAACAAATGTTTCATAGTTTCCACAAAAATATGAAGCAGCACAACAGTTTTTAACATTGATACAAATAAATGTTTCTTGAGCAGCAAATCAGCATATTAGAATGATTTCTGAAGGATCATGTGACACTGAAGACTAGAGTAATGATGCTTTGTATCACAGCCCTGGCTTTTTTGACATACCTGCTTTCTATAGTAACAAGAGGAGATTTGCAGTAATATCCTTTCATTTCATCCTCAAACGTCTGCTCCTGATCTGTGATTTTATAACACCAGGTGTCCTTCCTTCTCCAGCCCTGCATATACACACAATAATAAAAACTGTTATGGTTTGTAGTGTGTAGTACAGGATTTCATAGGTAGTGGTCACTAGAAAGCAAGCAGTGTGCAGGAAGCAGTAACTTGTGTAGTGTACAACCATATTTTTCATAATACATTTTTCTGGAATTTTTAAAAATCATTTCATAAATGCTGCCACTTGTATACCAAAGCTACTTAGTGCAATTAACTTCAAGCATGCAAAACATGCTCAAATGGCACACATTAGCATTCATTGCCGAATGAGAGCAGTACGTGAGTCCAAGTTTATTTTAGTGCTGTCAAAACGATTAATCGCAATTAATCGCATTCAAAATAAAAGTTTGTGTTTACATAATATATGTATGCGCACTGTGTATATTTATATACACACACATATGCATATATTTTAGAAATATATGTAATACACATGTATATTTATGTATAATCATACATAAATTATGTAAATCATAAATGTATGTAAATAAAATCACATGTAAATATTTCTTAAATATATACATGTATGTGTATGTATTTATATACATATACTGTAAATATAAACAGTGCACACACATATTATGTAAACACAAAGTTTTATTTTGGATGCGATTAATCGCGAATAATCATTTTGAAAGCACTAGTTTATTTGTATAGCCTCTATAATTTATATATGTTTATTTCCTCTATTTTTCATTTCTGATCTGAATAAAGTTAAATTTAAAGGATTTGTTGTGGAGTGAGGACAACTAAAGTACATGTTTACAGTGTTTAAATGTTTCATATTTAATAAGCATTTTTATTTACATTATTTCTTAATGAAATAATAAATGCAACGTATCTGTTTGTTTGTTTTTCGCAAAAATGCTATTTTGACACTATTAGTCGGGTAGGATTTCCGGAAAATACTGTTAATTTAATACTACTTTGAGTATAAATAGCGCATGGTTTGTTGTAGATGAGGGACATTTGGGATGCAGCATCAGCTGGAACTGACATCTGGCTGTGTTTTCACATCTGTCCTCTAGTAACCCTGAGTTCAATGGCCTCAATTCAGTGTCCTTCACAAAACCTGGACCAGAATGAAACAAGCATTTTAACAGCTACAAATAGACACAACTGGGTAGCTGATGCTCAACTTGAATCAAGATTTAGGTTAAAACTAATATTAAAGGGAAAGTGTATATATTTAAAGTCTTTACCATTTTACACACGTTTCCCTTAATAGAATATGAAACCATTTCAGCAGACAATAAAGGGTTGTCCACAAGCTGAGTAAGTGTGGGTGTGACACATACATGTCCGTGCACTGGCACGTGTGCATCTCTGAAAAGTGCCCTTTCTCTGTTTGGCCATATTCATCACGTTCATCCTTCTTGCAGTTGTCCTTTTTCATAGCCAGTCAAAGCAGAAACAGAGAGACAGAACAGATCTGAATCAGTCTGTTGTTCTCAGGCCGTGACCCGCTCTCACCCTCGCTGACGGTCGCTCCATCCTCCAGACACACGGCCTGTCTGCCCTCCTCACCCCACACAAAGCCCATCTCAAGCACAAGCAATCAGAAATGCAGGAAAACAGATGAAACGAGAATGCCGGTAATGAGACTGGAAAAAGCAGTTCGGTCCTGGATTTCTTTTCTTCTTTTCCGTTTTTTTCCCCTAAGATTTCAACTGAATCATTATTCATATCTTTCTCATGCAATGTATTTTGAATGACATCTTCTGGGGAATTTTGTTTTCTTTTTTTGTTCTTGCTGTGTTTTTATTTTGAAATTTGAACTTAAAGGGATACTCCACCCCAAAATGAAAATTTTGTCATTAATCACTTACCCCCATGTCGTTCCAAACCTGTAAAAGCTTTGTTCGTCTTCGGAACACAATTTAAGATATTTTGGATGAAAACCGGGAGGCTTGTGATTGTACGCGAAGAAAACTAAAATAACGACTTTATTCAACAATTCTCATCAGCAACTAGTTTAGTTATAAACATTATTTTAAACATTATGCACCAAAATGGCACATCACCGTAGTGCCATTTTGGAGAATATCCGCTGAACGCAAGCAGCGTACGCTATTAGTGATTAATGACAAAATTTTCATTCTGGGGTGGAGTATCCCTTTAAATCATATTAGTGTGGTGGTGATTATTTTAAATAAAATAAAATATTATTTTGAATAAAATAATGATAGCTGCAGATAATGTTGGACAAACCACTGCAAAATGTAGCTAATTAAGTTTCTATTAACTAAGCTAATAAATTCTAGGTAAATATTCCACTTTATTCATTGCCTTTTCTCTTTTATAAAGTGAACTGAATGAACTGTTTGAATGATTCAGAGTGAGTCACTAACTAATTCAGGTTATTTTCGCTAGCCTATGTGGTGAATGAATCACTGAAAAGAACCAAATCAAAAGAATGATTGACATGTAAAGTTTATTTTAGTATTATTTATATATCATTATAGTATTTCTTTTATTTTTATTTCATTTAAAAAAAATTTAATTTTGTTATGTACTTATTTTTTTTTTTTTAGTTCTTTTAATATATTTTGTTTGTGTTCATAATTAAATATAACTTTAATTTATTATTATTTCAGTTTTATTTTAGTGATTTTAGTAATTCAACTTAAACGTATTTATTTCAGTTAGTTACCAATGCTACATTTCTAATTTTAAGTTTTTTTCAACTAATGCATTTATATTTTATTTTATTTCAGGTTTATTTCAATTAGTTTTTAATCGTTATAGTTTTAGTTAACAACAACACTAATCGACACAGCTCTGATTCTAAACAGCCTACAAAAACAGTCATATTTGCCAGCAAAACATAAGCAAAAATGACTTTTTGATCTTTGATTTATTTTGTTCCTTTCCTATTTTCCTTCAACAAGACCGTCCTTGGGTTTCTAAGTTCATTTCACCTCACGATTATGTGTGTTAAAGTACACTCTCACCTCTGGACATCCTTCATCCCATTCTCCAGTAGGATGCTGTGGAACAAGACCTGAGGTCTTACAGATTGCAGCATGCTGCTCTTCACAGTCCTCAAACTGCCATCTGCTGTCCTAAAACACACACACACAAAGAGTCCTTCATCAAGTACAGAAGAAAGTTCAAAAGGGTCAGATCTGTCATGTGACCCGGTGGATGCCTAGACCGCTGGTTTACTGCTATCACGAACTGGTGACTGTGCATCTGATTACCCAGGATAAAGCTTTCATGCAGTGACTGTCTCTGAAATCAGATCTTGCCATTTCAGCTTGCACACAGCTGCTGTCTGATTCTGGACACGTGAGTCCTTTCTGACCACATACTGTATGCTCGGTTTATGACTAATGTCCTATGACATTAATCTGACCTTTGACCTCTGATCTCACCTTCCAGTCTGCGGTGACGCAGATTCGTTTGTCGCCATGGCTATGGGAAGGCTCCTGAGAGTACCAGGATGTGAATGTGACTGGAGAGCCGTCTGACCACTGGACTGATGAAAGTTTGTCCTCCTTATGCAAGCCAATCCACACCTTAGATTCGGATCCTGACACAACCAACATATAACTTCAAAAATGACACTATAAAGTGAAACATTTTTTAAATTTCACTCCAGTACCAACCATTGGACAGCAGTTTCAGTAGTAGTTCTTGTTGGCAGAGGGAGTGGACGCTGACCAGCTCTGCTTCAAGAGTTTTGCATGCGCTGGAAGAGCCGTCCCAGCTCGACTTCTCATCCAGGTACCGGTAACAAAACCCATTATGGTCCAACCAACCACCAGGACAAATCGTCTCCTTATACTGCCAGTTATCTTGTAAACAAACAGACAGAGAGAAGATTCAAAAATAAATACTACAGTTGGAACAAGAACAGGCTACTGTTCTTTCCATAAGACCTTGAAACCACATCAAAGATTGACTCTGTTCTCCTGATGCTAGCACTGATATGCTATAAATAACTCCTAATGACACCTACTGGAAAAACGAAAGATACATATTGAAGTGACGAATATTTGGTTGTTTGTTGATAATGTTTTTTCCTCTTTTTATTAATATTTTAATTATATTATTATTACTTCCTTCCCCTTATATACATGAGAGTAAGTGGTTTTTATATTATATTATATTATATTATATTATATATTTTTGTTTGAGTGGGAGTGTTGGATTTAAACTGAGTCAATTTGTAATTTTTTTCTTTTTTATTAAATGTACAATTTTGTATTTATCTTGTTAAATACCAATAAAACTAAGTTATTCTTTGATGAATATAGAAAGTTAAAAAGACTTGTGTGCCTTTTTAATAGATGTCTTTTGTAACATATTAAATGCATTTACTGTCACTTCTGATCAATTTAAATTGTCCTTGCTGAATAAATGGGTTTGATTTTTTAAATAAATTTTGAGCAAAAACAAAAAAATTAATAAACTAAAACAATAAAAAATTAGAGCTGCACTATTATTACATTTCTTGCCAGTACTGAATATCAATAATTATTTTCAGGTTATAAACAAATGGCTGATATCAAAATTCTCTTGTATTCTGTCTAAAAAGAAATAAAACTATTTCTATACAGACCTGATTAAATTTCTTTTAATCAAAAACTACTGATTAAAAAAAAAGAAGAAGAAAAAAAAAAGATATGTATATATATATATATATATATATAACGTATCCTTGTGTCGTGGCTGACACAGAATAGCGTACGCTCATGACGCTACGGTGATGCGGAGAGACACAGAGGAGAGACGAATTGTTGAATAAAGTCGTTATTTTTGTTTTCGTCGCATACAAAAAGTGTTCTCGTCGCTTCATAACGTTACGGTTGAACCACTGATGGCAGATGGACTATTCTGAC